GTAATCTCATTTTTCAAAATTTCCCAAGCTTCTTGAGTTGTTTTCCCCTTGAGGATTCTCAGCCATGGAATTTTTCCCAACTCTCTCTAAGTTTATTGAAATTAGCTCTCTTTATAATAGAACCAATTTCATTAATTAAAACATTTTAAGCTGGTACTTTTTATATTTGAATTCTTAGAAAATTTGGAAATGCTTTTGCTGGACTTAGTTCACCATTTTATCTAACTATAGTTTTTAATAATTAATGCAGCATTACTTTCCTCAAAGCATTATTTTAAAAATGTTGGAAAGCAAGATGAAAACAATTGGAAATGCTCAACTTAGAGTAGTGAACAATTTAGAGATATAAATAAATTGTAAAAATTAAGGAAAAAGTGATAGATCTATTGATAGAGAAAGAGAGTGAATAGTAATTTATAATATTGTAAAAAAATAATTAACATTGTGAGCAGGATGTAGAACAGTATTATTCTAGAACCAAAATCTCTTTTGCCATGTTATTCTACAATGTATAAAAAGAAGATTTCAATGTCCGCAAAAACAAATAATTCAGTTTTTTAAAGGTTTCACTTATTGAAAATTCTGTAGGTATAAAGATTGTGAATTAAGTTGATTGGTTAGGAGAGAAAACAAACAGAATGTTTCAGAAACATATATGTGACCTCATTTTAGCATAGAAGTTGACCAGACCTGTGTACATATCAGCTGGAAATCAATTCAGTGTTGTATAAAATACTTGAAGAAAAAGTTATCTTTACTGTAAGATTTGAGTGCAAAATCCTCAAATGATCACAACAACCAAGTTCACATGCAAAACAGAGAGTTTCAAACTCAAAACAGGATGTTTCAAATTCAAAATGGTTTGAATTCAAAACATTTTGCACACACCTAGGAATTATTGTCTCCTGTCTCCAGTTAAATTACTAAGACCTTAAACATTCCTTAAGGCTAAAAAGCCATTGCAGGATGTAATTATGCTTAACAGTTTTTATTTTAATAAAAGACAGATTGGACGAAGTGTGAATTATGTTAGTAGAAGGCCTGAATTACAGCCCTTCAAAAATTGTAGCACACTCTTTTAAATATTCTTACTTGCTTTAAGAGTTAAGAGATAGGTGGTAAAACATAAACGCAGCTTGTTTTGCTGTAATCAAAAATATTTTATATCATTAGAAACCATTTCTACCAGCCTTTTGCTATTAATACTTCTAGGTGATATTACTACAACAAAAATAAATGTTATGGTTTAAAAAATGACAACTGAAGGCAGAAAGGCCTGCAACTGACCCATCAAGAGAAGCCAAATAAATTAATACTGGCCATAAAAGTCTCTGGAGCACTAAACAGTAGAACCAAGGAAGCTTCCAGACGCAGCCTAGATTCTTCATGAAAATGATATTATTACATCAGAGAGACTGAAACACCCCAGCTTGACTGTCCTTCATAATCATCCAGGGTTTGATTTATCAGTTCTCAACATGTGTGTGTGTGTAACCTATTCCCAAAGTTTTCACGGCTGCATTCCCCCATGCTCACATGATTGCATATGGAGTGCTTATCAAACCAGTACAGATTTACAGCATCCCATAGTCATGTGATAATGATTTTTTTTAGAGAACACATGTTCATTTCATGACTATGGCATTCGCTTAATAAGTGGGCATTTACATAACAATTGTTGCAAAAATAAAGGTTATGAAATTGGGTGTGATCACATGATGCCCTGCCATGACTTATAATCGTAATTCCGGCCTTAATTATGATTATAAATCAAGGACTACCTGTACATATGCACATTTTCTAATTTTCTAAAGAATTCAAATATAAAAAATAACAGCTTAAAATGTTTTAATTAATGAAATTGGTTCTATTATAATGCTCTATAGTTTGGATCTAAAAATGTTTAGTGTATTTAATTTCCAATGTAAAAAAATAAAATTGTTATTGAACTTTTTTAATAAACTATTTCTCAAAACAGGAAAAAATAAGGGAAAAGGTTACTGTTTTCTTTTTAATAGAAATAACTAAATGTGAGTATATAGTTTGCAAATAACTTAATAGTGTTAGATATATTAATGTATTTAAAAGATTTATATGGCTATCTTAAAACATGATTCTGGACAATTCATAGCAATAATAAAACTACAAATCATAAAATAATAAACAACTAAAACCAAGAACTAAAAAAAAACATACACTATGAATGCATTTACATACTTATTTACATATTTATTACATATGTATTTATCACATGCACTGTATTAAGACCATAAATGATAAACCATTTCTGATTGTCGGGTTTACTGCTCTTTTAATAAAGCGATACTTTCAAAACCACTGAATTATGGTTATGTACAGTACTTGGAACTAAAATAATCTAAAATGTTAATATTAGTGTTTCTTTTTTATTGAATGCAAGGTGGCAAGAATTTAGCTATTTAATTAGCTTCAAAGATTACAAGTCAAATATGCATAAAATTGCACATAGTAAACTAAGTTCTATGGATTTGTGTGTTTTGTGTGTGTGTGTCTCTGTTGCATGGAGCAAGTCTCCAATTTTACTTGTTCTATTTTTAGGACCTTATTGTGGCAAAGTGCCCATCCCCAAAGAAATCATCCTGGATGTTCATGAAGTAACCATTCGCTTTGAGAGCAGGTCCCATGTATCTGGCAGAGGCTTTCTCCTGTCCTTTACCAGCAGTGATCATCCAGGTAAAGTGGAAAACGTCAAATGAGATGAGCTGTCAAGGGAAAAATGGGAACTACAAGGGAACTACAAAACCAGCTCAGAACAGTGACTTCTCATTCCTTAGTTTTGGGAAGCAAGAATAACTTAAATGCTAGTAATCTCTAATCACAATGTGTTAGTTGACTGCCTGCTTGTCTTGCTCCTTATGTCAGGGCTCCAAATAATAGACCCATAGCAAGCAAAACCCTGAGGCAGATGAATTCCTCAAAGAATAGCTTTATTAGATATATTATATTGGCACACATCTGGTGAAAACCAACTCTGAAAGTTCCCGCAGTTTTCACCTAATTAAAAGTAAAAGTTTTCCCTCAGTCACATGGTCCAATCAAGATGCTGTCTGGTTGCCTGGTGACCTCACTTCTCCTTCCTGGGGCCAGGTGTGAAAATATCTTTGGTTCCCAAGTGAAAGTATTTTATTTTGGCTACAAAACCCCAGCTATCTCTATCCCTCAGCTCCAGTGTGGCAACCGCTTAGAGAGGCCTGAAAGGCCTATGAAGCGGTATATAAGTCTACTGCTATTGCTATTGCTATTGCAATACTGAAGCTCCAAAATGGCTTCGGTCAGATCAGCTTCCGGATTGACACCTTATGGAAATGGGAAGATTGCAGTGAGAGTACCTTCTTGCTGGCATGCCAAGCATTCTGAACAAAAAGAAGCAAACAGAAAGAAATTGCTTTTTATCTTACTATTTCAGCACTAATGGTTGCAGTCAGACATTGATATTGAAAAAAATCTGTGTGTTAGCATGAAATAATGTGAACCTCTACTCTGTAGCCAAGTTGTACACAAAAACCTACCTTTTCTTATACTTGATTTATAACACAGCATATAAGTCTGACTGGCTTATCATTCCATGGATAAGATAGTTCTTGCTAAACTAGAATTTCACACAATGTAAATTCTGACATTAGGGTTCAAACAATGACTCTTCTCTCAAGACTTTTCTTAAATTGAAGTTTTGCCATAATTATTTATTGGGGAGGGACGTAGATCCAATTGAAGAAATCTAGGGAAAGGAAGATAAAACAAAGGTTATGAAGGGAGAAACAAATGTTGCAAGGCTTCTGTGGTTATTAATTCTTCTTAAATGATACTTTATCTTTAATTGATTAAGTCTGAATGTATGGACCTATGAATGTAAATTCACAAGTACTCGTATCTTCCAGATTGAGAAATAACTTTTATTTTGAACAGATCTAATCACATGTCTGGAGAGAGGCAGCTACTACGCAGAGCTGGAGTATAGGTAAGTATAGGCTTAAGGGCTAGACTCTCTGGCTGTCAAGTTGCATCTTGCTTGTAACATATATATTGCTGCAACCAGATAATAGACATGACCATAAGCCAGGAACACTACTGCCAACCACAGGAATGTGTTTTTCAGGAGATACTTGAAGGCATCTGCCTATGTGATTATCTACTGGACGTTTGTCTGAGTGAGGCAGTAAAGTAAAGACTTATTTGGGAAGACTTTACATTCCAAACGTAATGAAGGAATGCTGCAGCAGAACAGTGCACTGTCCTAATATATAGTATAGTGACTTGTGATGCCAAAATAAGTTGGGACTATGCTTTTGGTATTGAGGATGTCTGGCTTCTAACCACAGAAAGAAGTGTCTCATGTGGTAGCTTTGAAAATAAAGGCATCCAAGCAAGAAATAGTTTCAGAAACAGTGAAGATGGGTATTTTTTTTAGCTGGACTTGGTACTGGCTAATGTGTTGAGGGATATGCATATGACCATGCTGTTATTCAGAGCATTCGTACTTTGTTCACACCCAGCAAAATCTTAGTAAGGATGAAAGAAAATTGTAGACCTTGAAGCAGAGTCTCAGGAGTCATCTCCTCTTTTTCTTGCCTTTTTCCCCCCAAATTCATTGTTGTAACCTCCAGAAACAGTGATGTCTCGGATAGCTGCTGCTAGTGGACTCTGTGATGAAACAGCAGCACCTTACAGAGCTGTCCACATCTGTAAAAGCTGCAGAAACAGTTTAACATACAGTAGTTCCCAGGGAAGCTGCAAACGCTATCAAGATCTAATTAGCCATGTGGTAAAAGCTAGACCTGGGTGGGCAGGTACAACTATGACAATATGTAGTGGATTATAAAAACAACTCTTGATACATAACATCCAGTTCAAATATGGCAACAAGAAACAAAGAACATGCATTCCAGTTGCCGCTGTTGTGGGCGTTATTGTATTCCATAGAGTGTTTGAATCAACTGGAATTTTGAGGGGGAAGGCTTTGATCTTAGCATCGTTTGTGTTTATGCCTGTATTTATGAGTGTGTGTATATACTGCATACATTACTAATCTCTACTTCAAATAATGAGTCCTCTTTTTTTCCCTGGTAGCAGATACTGTCCTCCTGGTTGCAGAGATATAATAGGAGATATTTCTGGTAATATCATAGAAGGCTACAGAGATGTAAGTATCCCAGTGTAAGAGCGGATTTAGAAGGGAAAAATAGTCAATAAAACATTTAACTTAAGTCAAAGTGAGTACAATAAATTATTATGCAACATGGAGCATATTAAGATCTGGAAATAGTGATATGAACATGTGCAGATAATAGCAATAGCACTTATATACCGTTTCATAGTATTTTATAACTCTAAGTGGTTTACAGAGTCATTCTATTCCCCCAACAATTTGGGTCCTCATTTTACCGACCTTGGAAGGGTGGAAGGCTGAGTCAACTTTGAAATGTCAGGCTTAATGAGAAACACTTAAAATATGGTGGGTTTTTTTTGTTTAATTAATATAGTTCAGGTGAAATGGTTGGTAGTCTGGCTGATAGAACTGTTTTTCTATTAAACTAAAAAATCCATCTGTTGTCATCTGAAAACTTTTGAAAGTTAGGTACAGTAATATATTTTGCAGGAATCTTATTATGAGTGAAGATCAAAAAAACTGGTATTGAAGGTGGGGCTTAATGTAGCAACGACACGACATTCAATCTTGGGACTCCAGGATTGCTATCAATATCTCTGTTCCTGGACGGTCCTTTTGGACCTAAACTGTTCTGAAGGAGCAGTGATAGAGAAGAGCATGTCCTGCTGATCTCAGGGACATCGCAAAGTCCCTGATTGATCCAGGAGAAAGCTCTTTTTGCCAGCTACAAGAGAAGCAGCCAAAACGGCTGCAGACGATTAGGACAAGCCCCTGAAACAGCAGTACAGGAGAGACAGTGTGTCGAAATGGTGAGAAAAATTTTATTATTAGAGAAGGGAAAACCCAAAAGACTTGGAGTTTAAAATAAAATTGAAGACAGAAGAAAATAAGGTGCGAATTAACCCTGGTTTAAAACTATTGTGTTATCTTTTCTACCTTAACTTTGTTTGTTTTTTATGGATGGACTTTTTACTTTTTACTTTTAAACTGGACTGGTCTCTTTTTTCCCCTTCTTTCTCTATACTTTTTCCATTTTTTGTATTCGTGGATTAAAAGTTTCTTCTCTTGTAAGGCTTGGACGGAGCGTAATTTTTAAACATTTTTTTCCTCTTCCGGAAACTTTGGAGTTCACAGAAAAAGGCAAAAACAGATGGAAAAGAGGTTACACTGCCATCTAGTGGTTAGAGGCTTGGCGATATCTGATATTACAAAGCTATAAGCTTTGTTTACTGAAAGGGTCAGTGGAAAACATTTTGTTTATACAGGTGTTCCTTTGAAGGAAAGAGAAAGCTTTGATTTGAAAAACACTGAATTTGTTTGAAACCTAAAAAGTCTCAGATGTTTTGGCAGTGTCTATAACCTGGAAAATGGCNTCTTATACTACAAAAAATACGGTACTTAAATACTGTCATGGTCAATACAGAAAAAGAATTAAGGCATTATTGCAATATATAGAAACTCAAATGAATTAAATATTGCTGAACTATATAACTTCTTAACATCATGAAAATCATTCATTGGGTCATTTAATACAATACTGTCTTCCTTGGCAGTGGTTCTCCAAGATCTTGAACAAAAGCTTTCTTCAAGTTTTGCAATCTGAGATTCATTTAAATAGAAAGGCATGTTTAATTCTGGGACTATGTCACATATGCTTTAATGCAAGATTTTATTACTTTTCAAACGTTCCTTCAACAAGAGTTTGAGTTCTCTGAACTAGATACAGTAATACTCTTCAGCTTTCCTAAAATTAGATCTGTATTGTTCACAACCTTTATGATGAATTATTGAGAATCCTTCCTTTACCTAATACTTCTTTTTTACAGAATTGTTCACAGTATTCTTGCTTGATCTGGTGATTCTGAGACTGTTGGTTCACTTCTTTCACTAGTGCAGGCATGTCCCTTTTTTTGCCAAATTTCTTTTATAGTATCTGAAATAGAGTTCAATATGTTTCCTAGCCCCAGACCAGTCAAATTCAGAATGAATCAGCAGTCTTAATTACTGTACACTTGAGGACAAGACAGGTCATTGGGAAATATTAAGAGATACAAGAAATGTACCTGTGGGAAAATGTCTGGAGGGGCAAATTTAGTCTGGGAAAAAGGAATGGGGAAAGTCTTTATTTCTCTTGTAACTTCAAAACACAAAAATAACAATTTATTTCCATTCTATTTTTTTAAGTATGTTAAAAATTTTAAGTATGTTGCAAATTTATTTTTATTCATTAAACAAATCAATATATAGCTAACCATCTACCAAACAGTACACTTCCAAGTATTGTACATAACCAGAAGTGTGGCCTTACCAAGGCATTATAACACTTCACGTGATCTTGATTCTATCCCTCTATTTATGTAGTCTAGAACTGTGTTGGCTTTTTTGGCAGCTGCTGCANTTGTTTGAAAATAAAAAAAAATTTAAAAAAAGAAATAAAAACTGGTATTACACCACTGCATCAGGCTGCATAAAACATAAAACAGTTTATGGTCAGTGTAGGAATCCATTAAGATTCTGTAGCAGGTGGCTATCCAGCCTAAACAGCTCTGCATGATGCTGCTTCCCCATGTTCAGCTGGTAGTCTAGTACGAACCCTAGATCCTCCTAGGAGCCTTATTGCCCAGCTAATAAGCCTGGTATCTCAAATCCTTTATCAGAGGATCAGCTACAGAAGGCACCGTGAACACCTTTAAACATCACTCAATTGGATTTAGATTAAGGCTTAGGTCAAGGTTATTTTGATTTTGCCCTCGTCTACAAATATGATAAGCCTCCTTATCAGATCATTTTGCAGAGGTGTCTCACGGTTGCTCAGTGGAGCAAAGTAGCACTGCAAATCTATGAACGTGTTCTGCCCCATTGCCTCTAGTTGATGCTTTGAGACAGGCCACTTAATGTGATGTTTTGCTTGAATGAAAATGTCTTCTTGCACATATGAACAGAACAGCCAGTTAAGACAATTGCCCCGCCACAACATTGCAGCTTCGTTGTAGGGCATAGCAAAAGAGGTATGGCTTCACCTGAAGAGCTGGACTGATGGGGGCAGTCATAGAAAGATCAGTTGAAGCTAAGTATATATTTAGGTTTTGCACACCGTTTGGAAGTACAGAGAGAATTACAATATGTGCATTTTGATCTGGTCAATATAATGACTGGTTGTTCTTTTATTATCGTACTCCTCATGGTGTTCGCTTCATATGTATTTATGTGGGTGTGTAGTTTCATTTAGATCAATGCCAATTGATATAATCTTCACATGCCATTTCTTTTGATCCAGTTTGCAGATGAGGCTTAACAGGCTTTTTTAGGCAATAATTCCAAGTCCTCCTCTTCATTATAGAGTATCTTCAACTAAATAACCAGAGCATGTGGCATTATTCTTCGCCACCTGTATTTTGAGGAAATGGCACTTAATGATTTCTGAGTAAGGAAAGATTACTGCATTGTAAAATATTAACCTTAGAGCATATTTACCTAACAGGCCAAGTTTTTGCAATCTTTTCAGAAGTAACGCTGCTTCTTCTCCAGTTAGATAATTTACAGAGAAATGTTACTTTCCTTTTCTATTAGACTTAATTTCTGAAAGAGTAGGCTCTATTATTGGCTAGATGTGTATGAGTTATTTAAGTATTAAAACACAATCTTTGCTAATGGTTTGTTCGTTTGTTAATTTGACTTTATTACACCAGACATCCCTTTTGTGCAAATCTGCCATACATGCTGGAATCATTGCGGATGAAGTGGGTGGCCAGATCAATGTAGTTCAGTTGAAAGGAAAAAATCGGTATCAGGGTATCTTGGCCAATGGCATCCTTTCCCAAGAGTAAGTATTGTTTTTGGTGCTTGGCTTATGATATGCTTACTTAAAGCCAGGATATAGCCGTGTATAGCCCCTTTCCTTCTCTTTCAAAATAAGTCATAATTAAACTAGGAAGCCTAAATAACCATAATTTGATCTGAAGTAAAAACATGTTTGTGTATGCTATTCTTAACATAATAAGGAGACCTATAACTGTATGTTCCCATAAAAAGCTATTTCCTTTTTTTTTTTTTAACGCAATTGGTCTGTACCTCCCTTACCATGAGCAACTCTACCTTATTGTCTAATGTTAAATATTGTTCTGTTAATGCAGACTTCCCAATTTACTTGCTGAATTGTTCAAAGAGAAAAGCCAATTGCGGGCATTAGCTTTGTTCAGTTTTCAGCCTATTAAGTGAAGATATATGTATCAAAATTCAGTCATTGGTTGCTAAAGTGTGATATTAAACTGGCTCTTGAACAAAACAGCAACTAAACTGCATTTATTAGTCAGGGTCATTTGCATAACCTCAATACTATAATTAAATAATAATAGGCATCAGATCTGTTACCGTTACTCTAAGTTAGGGAAAGAATTCATTCTTTGAAATATAACTGCTAACAAAATCATACATAAGTAAATAGCTTTGAATGGTTAGTTGGTTGATTGGTAAAGATATACAGATAGTACCAATACACACAAACACATATCTGTGACAATAGATAGTTAACATTATGGTATCTTTTTTCTTAACAGTGGATCTCTATCAAACAAGCGATTTATTTTTAACTCAAATGGTAAGGAGTATTATTATTTTACTTTTTTGCTCAATAAAGCATAACTTTTAATTAGTACTTCAAAGCTGTTATCATTATAAATATAATTCAGATGTTACTCAAAACTACATCCACTTACTTTGCTATCAGGTAGGTGTTTATACAAGTAATCCTTAATTTACAACCATTTAATGACCATTCAAAATTATGATGGTGCTTGTTATTATCCTTTTCAGAAGTTATAGTTGTTGCAATACCCTCACATAATCAAGATTCAGGCACTTGGCAATCCACCCATCCTAGTAATTGGTTAGAGCACTATAATTGCCCCATCCTATCTATCTTCCCCCCATTTCACCAGCTCACCAGCATTCAATTCATTTAGTGTCAGAATAATACCATCTTTGGAAATCAAAGCCTTCACTTGGGGAATTTATCCAATTCTGATAAATAATATGTAAGTTCTTCTTATCCATAATTAAATTCATATGTTGGGTTCTACATTTGAGTAGAGCATTAAAAATGTCCAGGATAAATGTCCTACTGGACAAAGCAAGTATTTTTCTGATATGTACAGTGATAACAAAAATGCACATTCTTTTTTTATTTAAAGGTTGTGACAAAGCACTGAATTTAGGAGGTGGAGGTGCTTTGAATATTCAGATAACTGCATCATCATCCTGGGATGAAATCAATGAAGTTGGGGAGTTAGTTGAGTGGTCTCCTCAGAAAGCTTGGCTTAAAATTCCTGGACCATCTTGGGCAGCAAACCAGAGTAACCATCAGCAGTGGCTGGAAATTGACTTGGGAGAGAAAATTAGAATTACAGGTCAGTTTGGAGGCTTCCTGCTCAGTACAGCAGCATATGCCTTTAATATGTGTGCCATGATGTTGTGTACAGTTATAAAAGTGTGGCCTTTGCATCATGAGGGCACAACCACTGTTTTTTTTTTCCATTTTGAGTGTTGGGTCCTACAGATGCTTCTGGGTTATTCATGGAATAAAATTACTTGCCTTCTATAATTCAGTGCTATGTTCAGACAATATGGTAAGATAGAGCTAAATAATTCTGGCTTTCTATGGAATAAACTACATGTTGATGATTTGGGTTCAAACTTTATCTTGGCTCTGATGCAAAATAAAGTGGCTAAATAAACCTAAATGGCTATGTCCCACAAGAAGAGCCCATGTTTGTGTACTGTTCATATGGTCTTGTTTTGTTTGCATTTGTTTGCATTTGTTTGGTTGTTTGGTTGCATCTGCACTGTGTTTAGAAATTCTCTCCATAATGTTTTGCATTCTGAAGCCTCAATTTTGTTTAAGAACTATATAAACCAATCTGATACAGATAATAAAATATAATGGTCTTGTCTTGTGAAAATTGCCCCTAGTTGTAAGCCAATGAAATCCTCTATGCCTTATTAATGGGGGTTGAACTATAGTCATATATAAAATCACAATACAGAATTTGCATATTTTTGGTTCTTATTATTATTTGTGGCAAATTGGACTTCTTAAATGAACAGACGTTTTTATCTATTGATAGAAGTATGCATGTAAATGAATGTTTTAAATGTGAACAGTAGTGGAAACGGTGATAAAATATAAAGCTAACATACTGAAGTTTTTAAGTTTGGTCTCAATATATTAATTTTATTTGAAAAAAAGTTTAGCTTCATGTTTATTTATATTCTCTTTTCTTTCATTGCAAGGAATTAGAACTACGGGGTCTACTGTGCTTCATTTTAATTATTACGTTAAGACATTTGTTGTGAACTATAAAAATAATAACTCAAAATGGAGAACCTACAAAAGAATCTTAAGCAATGAAGAAAAGGTAATCCTGGTTAGGGGATGGACAAAGGAGGAGAATGCGGTTATTGAGATTTTTTTTTCCAGTACTTTTTTTTATGATTGAAGCAGCAGTGTTAGTCTGATCAAAATCCTATTGACTGAAATGAGCTTCAAGTGTCCTTAAGTTTGGCTGAATCACTTGCTGTATTCCTAGCATTCATAAATTAGTGGTAATTGCTTCATGGTAGAACAACTAGTGAAAATATAAAGAGATTATACTTTTACAGATCCTGAGTGCCCTAACAGTAGTGAAATAAAGAGGTTTTGTTAACAAATTGAAAACATTTTAAACTGCACACAAATACAACAGAAAGGTTTATGCTTATAAAGCTATTTTTTCATGTGGAAGGCAGCACACGGACAGTGTGTCTGCCATTGTTAATACCATAAAAATGTACAAACATTTAATAGTAATTTGTTTATTCAGGTGCTTCTATGCAAATTTAACCAAACATGAATCTTGGTGGCATTTATTTATTAAATCCTGGCTGGGGCCGAGGGGTGGGGGGTGGGATCCAGAATGAAATGGTTCCAAATGGGTTGGTTTTCTCCCCAATTCCTTTCAACAGGTGGGAAATAATGATGCAAATGTCCAGTTTTCCAGATGGCTAGGTTTACAGTGGCACTTAGTTACCCTGTAGACTTCATTACCATAAGACATAGCAATAGCCACTAACTTGAATGGCTTTAAAGGGGGACTGGATAAACATTTATAGAGGATAGGACTATTAAGGATGGCGTTTTGAGTACCCCAAAGTTGACCACTATGAGAAACAAAATGGCTGACAAAACTGGCCTAAAACTGGAGGGCTTTTTGTTGGTTGTGCTGACTTATTGTGCTAACTTGGCAGTTTGTGTCATCCAGGTTCAGATTCTTCAATTCTATCAAGTAGGTCTTCTCTATGCCAGGCACTTCTCAAATTTGGGCAGTGACATAACATTTGCTATTAAGCCAGTCAAAAAACCCACCCCATTTCTTATGTTATAGTCATAGACAAAGCAGATTTGACTTGATCAGTTTAACCATCTTCTTACCATATTTCCATGAAAGATTAATTTCATGAATTATGTTATTTGTTTTTCATAAATCGCCATTTGTTCCTAATTTTCTATCAATTGTCCTGTTTCTGTGTGTGTGTGTGTGTTTCCTTTCATATTGCAGATATTCAAAGCCAACTCAAATCATGGAGATGTAGTTCGGAATAATTTTATTCCCCCTATAGTAGCTCGCTTTCTGAGAATTATTCCACAGACCTGGCACAAAAGAATAGCCCTGAAAGTGGAACTTATTGGTTGTCGAGCAGCCCGAAGTAAGCCATTTTTATCTTTACACAGCTTGTAAAAAATAGAATCTGATTGTCCCACAAATGGGATGTTGACTTTTTTTTTTCATCTGTTTGTAGGTAACAGCTCTCTTATTCATCCACTCGGACAGAGACCAAGTCAAAGCACAGGCGTTTCCACTAAAAAAGATGACCAATCAAGCACAGAATATATACCTTTAGTTGAAACCAACTTAGGTATGACAATCAGTGCAATCCTATGTATGTGAAATGGAGAAAAAAAGTTGGGAACAACTATTCAAAAAACAGTCACACCGTCCACGGTCAAAGGCAGGCAGTTCTCATCCATCCCATTCCCCCATCTCCCCTCAAATACACATATTTTTTGTACCTATCTGCTTTCCTCATATTTTCCCAGCATTCAACTTGTGGCTTCTGCTTCCTGAGCTGCTATCACTGCAGTTTGACAGGAGAGTAGCAGACTTTGTGATATATTTTGCTTTCTTCAAAAATAAAACGGAAGAGGAAGTGGACAGCAGTCTGCTCCCATTTTCATCCTTAACACTCCTTCCAAGTGGTCTGAAATCACGCCATTGGAATTCTGCCATGTTGGCAGCATCGATTAATCGTAATGGGCTTGAATAGAAGCAATAATTTGATAATGAGCTTATTGAATAATGAGCTTACTCCAATGTGATCCAATTATAGAGGACAAGATATTGGGCACTTAACACTAGCCATTTTTCCACCAATTTCTGTGATATACTGTATATATGTATGTATGTACACACACACACACACACACACACACACACACACACACGGTTGCATAGCACTCCATCAATTTTGTTTTTCTATTAAAATAAAGTGTGCCTGCTTTACAAGAGATGTACTCCTCTATGTGAGAATAAATATGATCATTAGTATGTAGTGCAGCTCGAAAGTCAGTTTTCTAGCCTTGTTTTCAACATTTTTTTAAATCTTGGTTTTTATTTTACTTTTTTTAAGGATTGAATCTTATGGCTATCATTATTCCAACCTTGGTGGTGCTTTTGCTGCTCCTGTTATTGGGAATCTGGATCTTTACTGCACTGCGAAAGTAAGTGGCTTATTTTTTTTTCCTCATTTGGAATTAGACACATGATCACTGTCATCATTTGGATAGGTGCAGCCTCTTTATTCATTATGACATTTCAAGAGTAATTGGTAGATAAAAATAATTCCAATGGGGAAAATATTGTTTTGTTTAATGATTTTATAAATTCTTTAAACTGTTGCATGTCTGATATCTTATTTAATTCCCAACTGTTTTAATTTGTCTGGTTGATCAGGCTTCCACAAATCTGAGTCTCCAAGAGATGTATGGCTTTCTCTGTCTCCTTCTCTTAGCATTCATTCGGATACCGTATATACTGGTGGATAAGCCCATCAGCAAATACGCAGAGTCTTGAATTGTAACCAAAATACCATGGAAAATTTGCTCCGGCATGAATAAGATGCTCCATATTTTTGAATGTTTTAATTTTTACAATTGACATATTTATGGATGGTATATTTTTCATAGTATTTGGTTTAAAAAAAATTCCAGGGTTGGCTTATCCAGCAGAATATTTGGAATCTACAATTCTTGGTTTACCTGTGAGAATATGTGATCATTATAAATTGCACCTAAGTAGAATGGGGAGAGCTGACTGAATAGCTTGACAAAGTGTGCTTGCTTAGAGAGTTCTTTCCACATTTCATGGGCAAGCATAGCAGAAGAGCAAGATCAAAGTATTGTTTCAAGATGCTTTCAGGAACCTCTGCCAATTCATTAATGTTAATTATTTGCATAGCGAATTAGCTCAGAACAGGATAGCTGCATTTGGTTTAGCCTTGAAAATCATTTTTTGAAAAACATGGACTCAATCATTAAAGGAAAGCTGAGGTAGAGGGAAAAATAATTATGCTGAGCTTTGTTTTGTGATGAAGTATTGTGATTTCTGAACACAGACGGGAAAAAGTAGCTTACAAAAAAATATCCTCCGAGCAAGTATTTTTTTCTCTTCCTTTCTCTCTCTCTTAACGGACGCACTGCTACATAAGACTATAGTTCGGTGATTGTTGGCTGATCATGGAATACAAACCTATTTACTGTGAAATCTTAATTTTAACTATCACTGTTTATCAAATTTTATATGCAGAAGACCAAATTTCAGTCTGGATGTCCACTGACAAAATGGACAAATACTCTAAATCAGGCCTGTCAAACTGGTGGCCAGTGGGGCGGATATGTCATGTACAGGCCATGCTCACCTGACTCTGCAAAGGCAAAAAGTATTGCAATATGTCACGATCTGGCCCATGACATGGTCGAGTTTGACACCCGTTCTCTAAATCCAAAGTAGTCTAGATAGGACAGATATAGTTATATTAATTTTACTGTAATTTCCAATATCTGCAGAGGTTCGTGACCCAGATTTCCTTATGTGGTATACATTTCAATTTGCATATTACAATAACAAAAATCACTGTGATTATGTACTGTACTTTTCATATTTAATAGACATTTGGGAGTATCCAAAACCCACTTCCTGCAAGTGGCCTATAAAAATAAGGTTTCGCTGCCCTGTAGTTTTTAACAATGCTTTCTTTCTGAATTGTATTGTACATCACAATAAGCCAAAAAAAAAAAAAGTTCCACAGAGCTGCATGGAGATTGGTTTTTGAGTTAGCACATGTTCAGGCTGCTGATAAATAGAGACAAATTTGTAGACATGGACACAGCCTGATTGACACACTGTGTTGACATCCTGTCCAATCATCTTACATTCCACTTTCCTCCTTGCCAAGCCATATAGCCTTAGTGAAGAATGAACTTTCTAGCTCCTCTTCATCCTGGAACCTAATGAAAGGAATAGTATTACTAATAGTAAGAGCCGAGGTGGCGCAGTGGTTAAATGCAGCACTGCAGGCTACTTCAGCTGACTGCTAGATCAGCAGCTCAGCGGTTCAAATCTCACCGGCTCAGGGTTGACTCAGCCTTCCATCCTTCCAAGGTGGGTAAAATGAGGACCCAGATTGTTTTTGGGGGCAATATGCTGACTCTGTAAACCGCTTAGAGAGGGCTGAAAGCCCTATGAAGCGGTATATAAGCCTAACTGCTATTGCTATTACTGATGCGAACCGGCTCCTTATCTTAAGTTATTTTTTCAAATAAAGAATGAGTAGGCACACCCTGCTGTTTTACCAGCACAAAATGATACATGTCACATGATTGCCTCAGCCATGTACAGCCCAAGTTTAGATTCATGAAATGAATTCTATTATTTGTAAACTATAGCTTAATCATTGGTACAAATATTGATTTCAGAGCAGCCTTAGCTTACACAAGACATTAAACACATTACTAGACTATCTGGCTGGTTAACAAACTAAAAACATCTACCTTTTTATGATATGTGCCAGAGGTTGGGAAAGATATTCATCATAATGTCAGTTTCATTCAAAAGGTGCTAGACTAGGGCTGGGGAGACCCAGGTACAGACATTACCTACCCTACTTATGAAAAGATTAAGTTCCAAGAGGCTCTTTGCAAGTCGAAACTGGTGTGTGTGTGTCTGGGTGTGTGTGGGTGTGTCTGGGTGGATCTGCAAACAGCATGCCAGAAACTAACCTTGTCCTGCCTTCCGGAACATTTTAGGATAGACTTGTGATCAGATTTGCTCTTTGAAATTTGAAATTCATAAGTAGGGCAATATCTGGGGCTTCCTTTGAAATAGTTGTTCTCTCTAGTCTAATCTACCTGCAGAGTTCATGTGGCAATAAAACAAAGGGAGATCTCCATTTTAAGCCACCTTGAACTCATGAAGGAAATTTTATAAATTGAACAAATAAAGGGAGAAATTGTTAGCTTCTTGATTTGTTTGTTTAATGATGCCCTGAATATAAATAAAAATGATTTCAATCAAAACCCCATAGTCCCTGAACTTGGAAATCTAGTGGAAATGTAGTATGAAAGCTATGTATCTGACTTCTAGGAAAAATAACAAATCTGCCCATGAATCCTTGCCAATATCCATAGTATATAACAAACTTAGGAAGACATAAGTCTGAAAATTCAAAATTGCATGCAGTTTGGAATTTACCAAGTTAATAGATTCTGTGAAATCTATTTGAACTGAAGCAGGAAATGTGTAATTTATCTTGTTCTTCCTTACAGAAAAGGAAAGAAAGGTACTACGTATGGTTCATCTGACACTGGAAAACCAAGTTAGTGGCAATCTTTTGCTTTTGTTATAGAATAAGGAAGAAAAAAATGTTTCCTGCTGATCAGTATTATCTTTTGGATTCAGTAGGAAGAATATCCTTGACCTGTTCCACCTTTCTCTTTCCTGACCTCTATGCATTACGTTTTTATATATAGTGAGTTGAACAGAGCTGGACATTTAGAGAGAGCTGGCACTGATATCTCTGATCCTGCTCATCCTGTTTTTCAGCTTCTCTGACTGCTCTGTGGGAATCTGTGGATAGGTTCTTATATTTGTTCCCCTGCCGTTTATGGTTGCATGAATGATTTATGATGCTATACAACCACCAAGGTTTTTATAGAGCACTTTTAATATGTAATGCTGCTCCTTTGACTCTCTAGCTGATCCAGCTTTGATCAGAAACACAGCAAGACCTAAATTTCATTAGCACTAGGATTTTGAAGGCACATTAAAAAATATATAATATATATTCATGACTGTACAAGAAATAAAGTGCTGCTTTCCACAGAGTATTTTGAAGAGCTAGAAATCTTGTGTGTACAAGCTGAGCTTTTGCTATCTCCCTTGAGAAATAGTTTCCCTACACTAGTTCTTTGCCATCTAAAAAGGAAAGTATAAACTTCCATTACTTTAGAAAAACTAAGAAAACTAACTGTATCCTAATAGAATTCATGCTTAGTAGAAAGCATGGAAATGCTAGTAGACTTTGGTCGGAAGGTAGCAGTGTTCCATGTGTCATTGGCGTATAGCAGGTGCCCCATCACCTGGTCGATGGACGGCACCGGTCCTCAGCATGCTAGAAACTGGGCCACGCAAACAAGTTAAATCCTATCCGTGGGATGCAGACAACAAGTGAAACCACACACCCTCCAGTCCATGGAAAAACCTCTCTCCACAGAACTGGTCCCTGGTGCCCAAAGGGTTAGGGACCGTTGGTGTATAGTCATGATGGCTACATGACTATGGAAATTGTCTTTAGACAATGCTTGCTCCTTTGGCCAATAAACTGAGATGAGCATTGTGCCCTAGAGACACCACTGACAGGAGGGAAACCTTTACCTTAGAATTTCATGCAAGTGGGCCTTCAAAATTTTGAGCCTTACAGTGATAATTTGGTAGAGCTAATGCTAGTAGTGAAGATTCTGATACAAGCTACAATTAGTATCGTAATTGGTTTTCCAAATCATTTTAAAGGCAATTTTATGATAGTCAATATATCTATATGCCCCCAACAACTTAGAGTAAATAGACTCAATGCATGCAGTGCTTTAGATTAATTTACCTTTTGAGATTAAACATAGCTATGATCTAAATGTCTAGGTTTCTGTTTTAGGTTTCTGGAAACAAATCCAACCACCCTTTGTCCGATATCAGTCTGCAGAATTCACCATCACTTACAATAATGAAAAAGAGGCACCCAAAGAACTGGAACTGATCACAAGCAAGATAGCAGGTAATTCTTCTGGAAACTATCACTGTTTCTGACACTATAATATCCAAAACATTTGATTTCCCCCTCCTTAATTAGGGAAAGGCAGTGTATTTCACAGGTGATTGATTATAATGATTTTTTTTGTTCAGAAAGGCTTGCTTTCCTAGATTCTAAATGCATTACGAGAAACTTTCCTGCCCTTTGGCAAAGTTTTGGATGTTTTGAAAAAGTAATGTACAGGCAGTCCTTAAGTTATGATCATTCATTCAGTGATCATTCGAAGGCATGTCGCAAAGGTGCTTTTCCAAAAGGCAACTGGACTTTCTTAGAAGTTTTTTTTGAACACATTTTGCTTCTTATCCAAGAAGCTTCAGTTCTAACTGATTGGTGGGGAATCGAAGGAAGGAAGTCCAGTTGCTTTTTGGGAAACCATCTGGTGCTTTCCCTCCAAAGTTATGTCCATTGCAGCAGCCTCAGTCATGGGATCAAAATTTGGATGCTTGCAATTTTCTTGCACTGCAAACTACAGAGGCACTTCAACTCCCCCCATCCATCTATGACCCAGCCCCCTTTTGACTTCCCTGCATTCCACTGGCCCCGTCAGCCTGCCACACTGGCCGGTGTGGCTTGTCAGTAGAGGCAGAAAAAAGACAGCAAAGATCAGATGGAGCAGTCGGGCCAGCAGGGGCATTGAACACAGGACAGTGGAGTACAAGGTAGCCAGAAGGGCAGAGATGGGGAGGGAAGGAGGTGGATCAGAAGAATTGAAGAGGAGGCAGCCCCTTACCTTACTAAGGCTCAGGACTGAGAGGGATCAAGCTGCAAATGGCTTGGATCATGGTGGGACCTTGGCTCAGAAGCAGTGGGATTCAATTAACAGCAACCAGGACTGCTGTCATTAAGGACACATGACCTCATGCTTTACAATCACAATTAGAAAATTCAATTTAGAAAATTCTAATCCCGATTCCTATTGCATTATGTTTTTTAAAAAACAACATTGCTAATGTATTAAACTGTTCCCATTCTTTTCCCCAGTCGTTTCTCCCATTGCTGTTAACATTTACAAATATTTATAAAAGTGTAGAAAGTTGACTAAAAGGATTCCTTTGGCAAGAGACTAGGTGATTCCCTGACATTTAAGTGATTTCTATTCATGATTGAGGTTTGTTAAAATGTTCTAGATGTCAACCTTAATGCACTCTGTCATAGGGCTTTTGCAATTCACTTGCTCTAATGCAAGACACCATGAAACTTTGATTAGCTCAAATAAGCAGATGGGGAAGTAAAAATGGATGGGCCTTCTTTCCATACTTGCTCGTGTCCATGCATCATTACCTTAATTGAGCTATATGTATAAAATCCCAAGGCAATTTCTATATAGGGGGATAGAATTTTGTTTAGTATCTCTTACCACCAAAAGAAGAGGCCACGTTCAACTTCAGATGTTCTAAACAACTTTGGAAACAGGAACTTTCTCACAAAATTAATTTTATAGCTTTATGAAAGATGCAATTCTCAATCTTGCAGGCCCATTCCAACAGCCACTGAAAACCTAGCAAAATTAACAGATAGCCCTCAACTTGCAGCCATCCCTTTAAGTGATTATTCAAAGCAACAATCGCACTGAAAAAAGTGACTTATGACTATTTTTGACACAACCACTGCAGAATCCCCACAGTCACATGAACACAATTTGGGCACTTGAAAACTGTCATGTATTTATGACAGCTGCACTGTGCCAGGTCGTGTGATCACCCTTTGTAACCTTCTCAGCTGGCTTCTGACATGTAAAGTAAATGGGGGAAGCCAGATTTGCTTAACAACCATATAATTCACTTAACAACTGCAGTGATTCATTTACAGCAATAGCACTTAGATTTATACAGTATATCACTTCACGGTGCTTTACAGCCCTCTCTAAGAGGTTTTACAAAGTCAGCATATTGCCCCCAACAGCCTGATTCCTTTTACTGACCTCAGAAGGATGGAAGGCAGAGTCAACCTTGAGCTGCTCAGAATCGAATTTCTGGTAGTGAGCTGAATTAGCGTGCATTCAAATTTATGTGGCAGTAAAGGTTGTAAAAGGGGGCACAGATCATTTAACAACTGTCCTGCTTAGGAATAAAAAATTTGGGCTCAATTGTGGCCGTAAGTCGAGGACTACCTATATAAGTTTGGTTGAGAAAGGATGGTTTTGGAAGCATTTTTAAAAATTTGTTCTTTTTTTACTTAAAAAAGACTAAAATAACCATATTCAATTTTTTCCAAATTTAATGCATTCTGTTAAGGGGTTTTTAGTCTAATTCACATGATTTAACGCAAGATATAGTGCGTAACATACCTTCATGCAATTTTTTCTTTTGATTAAGCTATCAAAACAGCACTGAATTTCAGTTCTTGCAGCCTAACTTTGCAATTTCCAGCTGTGTTCCATTGTTCCTTTCTTCCACTGTCTCATGGAAGATAATCACAGAGATTTGAAATATTTTTAACAATATGTTTTCACTACCGAAAATGTTTGCAAAGTGTTAGCTGAATTTGTATGTACTTCTCTATAACTCTTAAGAACTCAACTTCTCTTTAGAGTTAAGAGAGACTGGTTAACATTGCCTCTTTCAGATTGCCAATAGTTTTTGTCCCTAGTTGGTGGAGCATGGGATCTCTCTTTCTGTCTGTCATCCATTTTTGAGAGTCTTGCCACCAATCTCTCCTTAAACCTGCAACCCTTCAGCTTCTAAACCTGCTGTTCCACTAAAGTTCATAAGCCAACACTGCAAGGTTTCTTAGCCATCACTATTCATACAATGCAGGTAGTTCTAGCTTAATTACAGTAAGTAATGTAACCAGAATTTCCATCACTAAGTGATGCAATTGTAAAGTGCACAGTATCTGGTTACATCACTAAGCAAATTACCACGGACTGTTAAGCAAAGAACTAATGTGACCTTAATTTCCTATTGGCTTCTCATTGATTTTATTTATGAGAAGCCAACAGGAAAGGTTGTAAATTGTGATCACATGGCCAACATAGATTGTTATGATCAGAAATCCAGGCTGACTGCCAAGTATCCAGATTATGACCATGTGACTGCAGGAACTCTATGAGTGCTGAAACTTGGAAGACAGATTGTTAAGTGCCATAACATTCAGTGCCATAACAAATTCACCAATGTACAGCAAACTATTCAGGAATTAGCGCGGAATGTGGCTAATACTCAATCTGAACTGGAATTTTAAAGATCTTGTTTCTGTCTTCTGTCTAGATTATCAACAGCCCATCATGATAGGAACTGGGACAGTTACCCGGCAGGGATCTACTTTTAAACCAATGGATACAGAGGATGAGAAAAAATGTCTCTCAGAGAACAGAAATCATTACAACCGCCCACAAAGAAGAAATCACCATGATTATGCGCTACCTTTGACCAATCAGGAACCGGAATATGCCACCCCTATTGTAGAGCGATGTACAGGAATTGAAAATGATTTTTCTACAGATAATTGTTACAACATTCCTGCGGTTTCTTCTTTTCCTTCTGGGACTTTTCTTGCCTTATGCAAGGCAGATGGGAACAGTGAAGATTATAAAATACCACAAAACATTAAAGAGTATGATAAACCTAAAAGTAATATCTTGCCCATAGCGGACTATAATACATGCTATCAAAAACCACAGGCCGAATCCCTGACAAATGAGGGTTATTCAACACCTAGATACAATCTCAAACCAATAAATCAGACTGCAGTGACAGCACTCTTATAATCCCAGAACTCATGAAAAATTGATAATCCAGGAAAAGGAAAGGACCTAAGACTACTGACATTCCTGCAGAATTTTGAGTAATGCCCCCATTTTCCATCTTTTCACCATGAGAAGCATTCAGAATAAGGTCTGCAAGCAGTGGGTTCTCTACAGCTGAGTTGTTGGTGCTCCATTTTAATACTGTGCAATGTGTACATACTGTTTTAATTTAAAAAAATAACTTAAAAGTATCTTTCATTTGTTTTCTCTCTGCTGACAAATGCACTGATTTCTAGGTGAGACAGCATTCTAAATTGACATAATGCTCATTCTTGGGAGATCATATTTAGAATGGATGGTTAAATAGACATATTTTAAAAAATTGCACTTCCCATACAACACAGATTTTATAAGAAAAAGTGTTTTGCAATTTATGTATGCTGTGTGATAGAAGTCCTTTTTAATTTATTCTTGATAGTCATGTGGAAGATAAGGTACAGAACTTCCATGATTAAAAAAACCCGATCATTTGTTCCTCTAAAGATCTCCATGTGGCTTCCTATATGTTAGCAATATATATTCAGGAGTGGCAAGAATTAGAAAGTTTTGTTTTTAAATTAAAGTTTAGATTCTCAGGGAATAGAATTAGACACCACTTCAGTGACATGCGACATTCCTAAACTCCCTCAAAATCTCACAGATCGCATAGTGCTGTTAGCATCCAGATCTGAGTAGCATATATACTTGAACTGAATCTGCCTTGCTTTTCATTCTAAGCAAGATACAGTATGCTTATTTCTTCTTTGGGAAATATGAAAACAAATAAACTGCCTACCAAAGTTATGTAAACTTCTACCTTTGTTCTTTTTTTTGGGGGGGGGGGGCCTCCAAGTCAGTTTTTTTATTACTGGCAACTGCCTAGACTAGTCTGTGTAGTTTTCTTTGTATTGTTTCAGAAGTGGTTTGGACTTTGCTTCTTGGGACTGACAGAGTGACTGGCCCAAGTTCACTCAGCTGGCCTCATGCTTAAGGCAGAATTAGAACAGATTTGGGTTGCTGCCGGTTCGGAACCCACCTCTGTTCCAGTAGTGGAAATTGGGCCTGGGTTGCCGAACCAGTAGTGATGTCACCAGTAGTGACGGTTGGCTGGCTGGCCACATCCCCAAGCCACTTGGACATTCACCCTGCCTCGCTTTTGTCACATGGATCCACAGAATAGCCTCCTGCCTACACACAGGTAAGCAGCATTTACACTAGCCTAGCCCTCCCCCTCTTCTCTGGCTGCAACCCGGGCCCCACCTGGTCAACTGGGTGACTGGCCGAGAAAGCTGCAAGCGAGCTGCCGGGACCAGCCTCGCCTCCAATGCTCCGTCTGGCAGAGGTCGCGGCAGGGAGCAGTAAGGAAAGCGAGCCCTTGGCCAACTTCCCTGCCAGCTTGGGGGATGGTGAGCCTCCCCACTGCTGCCCCCTTCCCTCACCGCCCCTGCTGGACAGATCATTGGAGGCCAGGTCAGTTCCGCTCACCCACTACTTTCCCAGCCAGCTACCCAGCTGACTAGGCGGGGCCTGGGTTGCAGCTGATGGGAAGGTGTGTGCGCAGGGTGAAATAGGAGGCACCCTGCTGGCAGAGGCTCTGCATGGACGGCAACAGAAGGCCATCCCCCAAGCCGGATCTCAGAGGAAGGAGGCAGGGATTCCGGTCCAGGGTTCTCTTCCTTTACCACTCACAGCTACTGCCCATGCTGGATGGAGAGTTGGAAGCCAGTCCAGTCCAACCTACTTGCCCGCAGTTGGCAGGGCACCTCCCCTGCTGCTGCACCCTTCCCTTGCCATCCATGCAGATGGAGCATTGGAACGGCGGTGGGGAAAGTGAGGCTTCTTTGTCAGCCTCCCATCTGGCAAAACAAATTTTTGCCAGTTCTGTGGGCATGGCTAGGTGGGGGGCATGTGACTGAGTGGGGATGTGTGTGAGCAACATCAACTTGGCCATGCCCACATGCTCCCCCACCTAGCCACACCCACAAAACAAGTAGTAAAAAAGTTTGAAACCAACCCCTGGATTGCAACTCATAGTCTCCTGGTTTTTAGACTGTCATCTTAACCCCAACACCATTCTGGCTCTCTCACCTTTATTCTCTTATGTTAGTTTTATTCTTTTTTATTCATTCTTAATATGTGCATTTTTAATTATATACTGAATATAAAATATATAATGACAAAATGAGCAGAAAGCAGTATTTTCAAATCTACTTTTGCAGCAAATTCAGAACATATACTAAGTTGCAATTCAGTGCATATACAAAGACATATTTATAAATCTCATACTGTTTCTTAATAAATATACAAAAATGGGTGCTATGCATTGCTTTCCTGTGATAAAACCTGTATTTTGTGTGCAGAATGTTAGATTCAATTTCTTAGCTCCTGAAGCTAAAAAAAAGATTAATGTCCAGATTTGAATGGCAAAATGCAATTCAAGATGCATACATTAACATCTGTTTGGAACATCTTAAGCCATATGCATTTCTTGTCAAGAAGATGCTACAGCTGTGGAGTGCAGTAACCTGCTTTGGAGTATTCTATAGAGGCTCCAAGCTCCAATCATATTTTGCTCTTCAAATCCAGATCTCTGGCCAGCTCTATAGATTATGGCTATGACAGATGATAATTTAACTAGAACCACCCAGCCCATGGGAATTAGCTAATGCCTCTGTTGTGAACCATGTAAATTGAATAAATCATGAATGTTGTTTGAAAGCATGCTATAAATATTGGCTTTCTCCAAACTTTTGGGGAATGTAATTTCCATAATTGTTGACTAGGATGGAGGGTTGGATGAAGTGCCACTTGATTGTACAGTATTATCCAGTCAAGAAATCTTTCTATACAACAACTAAATACAACGTAATGAGAAAATTTCCAAAGCGTAAGCTTTGACCCATCTCCATTAATTCAGAGCATAGAACAATTCGAATAAAGAATAGTTCACAGCAGATGTAAGTAACATTTGGTCTGCTATGAGACATCTTTGTTCAGCTAAATTGCTTTAAAATCTGATGTAGGGAGCATTCTCATGGCAGTTTATCTACAGAGATATTTTATTTTTGGTCCATTTATGCAGAACTCTACAATCTTTGGAACTGTTCTCTGAAATAGTACCGTATTAGTAGCTCAATGAAACTACACTGCTAATGTATTTTTTTGCCTTGCCTATTTCTGCATCATTTAGCCAGAACTACACTAAAATCATAATCAGTTAAAACAATGGGTGGGGGAGGAGTAGGAAATTCAATAAATAAAACCATGGTAGAAAAAATGATCCCCATGAGGCTGGATAATACTATGTAAGTGCATCAGAAGTTTCCATGTGCTGAAAGATTATCTTTTATTTCTTCCTTGTAGTACAATCATAAAATATTCAGTGAGATACAATAGACTGACTGTGGACTAGATAGATAATCTTAAGTGCTTCTTATTGCAGTACCCGTTTTTTTAAAATCAGCTGTTGTATGCTGATGTACTTCTCTGAGAGACATAATGCTAAAAGCCCATAAATAGCAAAGAATATAAAATATTTCTTTTAAGCCGTCAGACAGGAACAACAATAATTTGGCAAAAAAACAAAAAAACAAAACATGGCAAGTGCCATGTTGTGATGTAGGGCAGCTAACTAGTTCTGACAAGGTACAAATAGGCAGCGAGATAAGGATTGGTTAAGGATTTATTTCTTGAGATCAAATCCTATGCTTCAGAACCTTTATAAACAGTTTAGCTACATGTTTAATTCAGAGCTTTGCTCTGGATTTTTTTTTTTAATGAGACAAAATGTACTAGAAACTGAATGTTTGGACTTGAAAATCTTGATGTAGATAACAATAGAGCCAAAACAACTACTCACAGGCGTCAGATAATGCAGTGACCCCTGGGCCCATGCATTTTATCTAAGAAACTGCAATCATTTCAATGAGACATTTCAACGGCTTTTGTTGTTCTTTGTAATTCACTGCATTATCTTGATGTAGTGGTTAAAGTGCTGACCTAGAAACCATGAGATTTGAGTTCTAGTCTCATTTTAGGCATGAAAACCTGTGGGTGACTTGGGTTACATTCTCTCTCAGCCCAATTCATCTCACAGGGTTCTTGTTATATTAGAGAAAACAGGAGTAGGAAGGAATATTATATATGTTTGCTGCCTTGAGTTATTTGTAAAATAAAAGGGGGATAAAAATCTGGTAAATAAACAAATAAAAGCAGGCTAGATAGTAAGAAAAGTCACCGCTCTGCACTAAACTGAGGTGAAAATAATTTAGCTTTGCAATACTTGCAGCACAGTGTAGACAAGCAAATGGCTCCCCATAGATTTCAAACAGAAATGTTTTTCCCAGTTATCCAAAAAATACTGAGCTGTTTGACCAATGTTCCACAATAAATCTTTTAAATTGACTGTAGGTCTACTAAAATATACATGCAGTAGGCTGTGGATTTCTCAAAGGATGTATTTTTAAAAATAAAATACTCTTAAAGCCTAGGTTATAATGCTCAGGCAGCATCCAGTCAAAAACAATGATAAAGTATATTAAAATCAGTATTCCCTTGACTGAGAAGAGCAGCTTCAACACATTAAATCAGAGCTATACAATATTACTGGTGATGGCAAATGGCAAACATTTGGCATTTACATGAAATATAATGGAGTAGGCAAAAAAACTGTATTCACTCAACTTCCTTTACCAGATTACATACTATACGAGAGCCAGTCTGCCTAGTGTTTAAAGCATCAGCCTAGACACAGGGAGGCCATGATTCAAGTCCAGCCTTAGCCGTGAAAGCCAACTGGGTAATGTAGGGCCAGTCACTCTCTCTCAGCCCAATTTAGCTCACAGCGTTGTTGTGGGGAAAATAGTAGAAAGAAAGAGTACCCTGTTTCCCCGAAAACAAGACAGGGTCCTATTTTATTTTGACGTCCGAAATAAGCGCTTGGCCTTATTTTTGGGGAGGTCTTATTATTTTTGTGAAGCTGCGAGGCTGCGAGCATGGTCACCTCATGACTGCTGCTGTGATGCAATATTTTTGGGGAGGGCTTATTTTAGCCCATGTGCTCAAAAGCCCGATTGGGCTTATTATTCGGGGAGGTCTTATTTTCAGGGAAATAAGGTAGTAATGTTCACCACCTTGAGTTTGTAAAAAATAATAAAGGCAGAATACAAAGTGAGTGAACATAACAATGCAGGAGTCAAAATAGGATGTGTATTCCACCATGTTGCTGAAAAGATGACTGAAGAAGTCTAGCTCAAGGTTGATACAAAATCATGAATACCTACTTGATGTGAATGACGATGGCATATTTTGTACAGGAACACAAAGCAATGTACATAGTTCTTCCTTTTGTTTGTCCCAACCAGCTGGGATGAGAAATAGCAATTAGTCCAAAGCTGTGCAGTGAGCTTCCATGGCTGAGGGTGGACTAATCAGATCTCCCTGCTCCTAGTCCAACAATTTGGCCACTATACCACACTGGCTCTTTATACAGACAGGTACTAATTGTTTAGTAACATTTGTTAATTATCTAACAAACTAATTTTTTTAGAAAATTAGATAATGGGGTGCCAACACTCTGATCAAACCCCTATTACCTTTACCAAAACATGAAGAATGGTTAAAACATCACATTTATGGAAGGCAGGATTATTCGAGGGAAGAACTAAAACTTTTTTTCCTAATTCATCCGTAGTGATGTATGTCTTCATGCTACTTTAAAAAAAATGTAACTATTTGGAAGAGAATCCATAAAACAGTTTGATTTTTCACATTGCTGCAGGAAGGGGGGGCAAATTACAACATAA